GCTCTTCTAGCTTAGTAAGCTTCTTTAAGTTAGGCTAGCAATCGCGTTAGGCAGGCTTGCTAACGCGTTAGTAGTGGATTGTTCGTTCTAACATGTTATAGATAGCAGCAGCACTGCGATTACTCTATATCTAACTAGATTTAATAGAGAATATAGTAAGCTAGATATCTACTTTATTTAAAGCTAACTAACTAGCGTTGCGTTAAGCTATTATGTATTAAGATGAGAGAGGTGCATAAAGTTAGTGGGGTGCGGCGCTCGCTTGTACGCGGCGCTCGCTTGTAAAACACGTTATGCCATATATGTATGTTATGCAAACAGTCCAGTCCCCGAATTCGGCGGGGCCCACACACACACACGCCTTGATAGCCGCCGATAAGCGCCGTCCATGTGTTGGAGTACCTAGATATCGGAGTTGGGGGGGGATTGTCTATCTTTACTAACATGCAAACACATAAAACTGCAAATGCAAATGCAAATGCAAAATACGTTAACAGTCTCCAAAACTCCAGCGTCGGCAGGCAGAGTCAAGTCCCGGTTTCCGGGGGTGATAATCATCACATAAGTAAGTAGAATGAAGGCAGCAATCGCCATGTGTAAGTAAGTAAGTAAGTAAGTACTTAGCTACCTCCAAGTCGCTGGCACTAAGTAAGGGAGGAATAACCGCACCCGGACGAGACGACTTTCCCATTGCACTGAGTCATAGAGCTGCATGGCCTTGGCGTCATTGTTAAATAGCCTAGGATGAATTCTTGGGGGGGGGGGGTTGCTTTCCATGCTGAATGCGGAAATACTAGCCAGTCCTGCCGCGTGGGTGAGGGGTACAGTATCATGACCCGCTTGACCTAAGTACAGAAGACCCACCCGCTCGTATGCTGACGAGCATCACGGCCAGCGAGGAGCGAATGATTGGTCGGCCAATTTCAACGGGTGCATGGAAGCTGAGGAATTAGATGGACAGCTAGTAAATGTGATATATTGTATTGGCAAGTTCTGCGATGTGGGACCGTGTAATGACTATGGCTTGCAGTAATCTCTCTATAGAGACTGGTTAGACACTACATTGTCTGCCAGCCTTTCGTTCAGTTCTTGGAAAAATCCTGTATACTACATGTTGGAAACCCGATTACTTAGTACCAGCATCTTACCATGCGCTCTCACGTGCAAGAATATCCCACCCAACAAGCCGCCACACTTCTTCCTTGTACCATGTCTCTACGTCTTCATCCTCCACTCTGGCTACATTCTGCATTGCGCCGAGACGCATCTGGGCCATGGGCTTCGTGAGAACGTCTAGAAACTCGTCGCTCGAGTCGTGTCCGTACATGCATGCAATCAGAGTCCGCTGCAGACGGTCCTTGGCAAGCGGACTCAGACGTGCTCTTGAGGTGGTGGCAATGGCTTTGATACTCATTGTGCGGGAAGCTCGACTGGGTGCTTGAGATGCCCGCATATTTTGTGAGTTCATATGATTTGGCGCCAGGCCCATCGCGCGCTCCAGGATCAGAATCAGTGCTCTTGCCTCCAGACGCATCGCCAGAGCATCGCAGTCACGCTTCAAGATGCCAACCGCATCTTCTACTTCAGGTACTGGTAGAATATTTCTCTCGACAGAAGAGGTGCGATGCTGTCCAAAGGTTGAATAGTAGAGCCGTTTGCCAACACGCTCAAAGAGAACAAAGACAAAGCCGTCGAATATCTTCTGGTGCAGTGCGTCACTCTTTTCCAGCAAGCCAAGAAAGCTAATCAGAAGATGAGCAACCGCTCTGGCCGGAGCCGACTCCTTGACGGCATTGGAACATGCCTTTGCTTTGCTTCTTTTCGGTCCAGGCGGCTGTGAGAGAACACTTTGTGCAGTAAGCTGAGCGGATGTCTCAATCGCACAAAGTGCCGTTTTGAACATTCCTGCGAGTTCACAAACCACCAAGCTTTCTAATCGCTTGTCAGATTCCGTCTTCACAAGCTTGTCTGCCCCGACCAATATCGACATAAACGCCCTTGCACACACCGAGAGTGCGTTTGCAAAGTCGGACTTGTCCTTGTCTAGTGAAGTCGGCCCGGAATTCTTGTGTCCCTGACGTGAGAGAGATTCAAAGTTCCGCGCGACAAAAAGTATCATCTTGCCTATAGCTGAGGCGCTGCGAACCAGATTTGTGCAGAGTGTGTCGGGATCGGGATCAGTGACTCTGCATAACGAGTGAAGCTTGAACAAGGCCTCCATGAGCGTGATTCCATCTTTTCCTAGAACTTCTAAGAAATCCAAGTCGTTATCCACTGTTTCTTGTGCGGAAGCAACTGGGTCCAGTGCTCGTTTTTGTGTCTGCTTTGGTCGCTTCAAATCCCGGGCTGGCGATCCTGTCCTAGCACGCACACTGGTGTCGACGCTTCCCATGTTGCTGGATAGAGATGAAAGCAGCTTGTTCGATCGTTCAAGTTTTACATTGACATTGGATAGTCTGTCGCGTTCGTCCTCGGCTTGTTTGCATCGCTCCTTCCAATACGCGACTTGGTCAATATAGCAGCCTGGATTCGCTCTCTCGAAAGGGTCTTGGCCACGCTTGATGTGAGCCCGTAGCTGCGCAATGTGATCTGTTATTGTCAGCTAATGTCGGCTGCATCAGTTGGTAACTGCCGACCTCGCAGGTTCATTCCAGCGGGTTTGCTTCGAATGACGGCGATAGCGAGAGCCATCTGCTGCTGCGAAGGCAGCGATGGTGAAGGAAAGTCAAGTGAGCTTGGAGGCATTGCAGGTTTATGCTGGAGATGACGAAACTGCACCCGGAGATAGATGGAAGCGAAGATGATGACATGCAACAAGGAAACAATATGGCAAAGAGGATATGTCAGTTGCAGTATGTTTGAGAGATGCTGCCGTTGGTGATGTTGGCACTGCCAGGTTGAGACGGGAAGGTGAGAGAATGCAGGAAGGAACAACCTAGCGTATCCTCACGCATGCCTACTACCCGCATAACTCAAGCAGCCGCCAAACCTCCATCATTCCATATACAATAGTATATAATACACATAAGACTTTACATCGTGCACATGCTCTTCGGCTTGAGCTCGCTCATCGCATGCGTTCTGTCCGCCTCTTGTATGGCAGTGGCTCGACCTTCTTTCTCTTGAATTCCACGTCGATCTGACTCTTGAGACCAGCGCGCTCCATGACGCCTGCCATGCTCTCATCCCACTTGGTCCTGAAAAGGGTGGCAGTGATCGGCTTCAGCTTGTTTGTGTCGACAAAACTGCGCAGATTGAACCCCATGCGCTTGACTGTGTTGAATTTGGTCACGTCAAGTTGCTGGCCAGCATTCTGCTCCAATACGAAAATTCCCAGGCGGTGGTATGGTGCACCCTTGTGAGCCCAGGGAGCAATCCAGGGCAGCGCAATCTTCTTGGCGCTTGGGTCCTCCGTCTTCTGGTCGTCCTGCGCAATGCGCTGAAGCGGTATGGATGTGTTGTTGGGGGAGATGGTAATGTTGGAGGCAATCAGATGGCATCGGTAGGTAAAGCTGTCAGTCTCCGGGACAGGCACGTCTGCGTCTACTACGACAACTGTGACAAGCTTCTCTCCGGGAGTAAATGTCTGCACATTGAGTCGGGGCAGCTTCTCGCTGATGGCAGAGTCGACGAATTCACCTGGTGGGATCGTCTTCCTTCCAAATCCGAGGTCAATGTCTGCTACGAGGTCCAGGGACGGAAGAAGATCCGGGATAATGGCCAATTGTGTGACACGCTGCTCCAGAACGAGGCGCTTGTACTGCCGCCACTTCTTGTCGGCAAGATAGCGGTAGATGGGCTTGTTCATGTCGCCTTTGCAGCAGTCAGTCAAGCACAGAAAGCCACGACATGCGACCTACCCTGTCCATCTTCAAATCTTTTCTTGACCACCGGGTCGTTGATGTCGGCCAGAATGATCAGCTCATTCAAATGCTTCCTCATGCTCCGTAACCTGTGCTCCTTGGCCGCGGGGCCACCACTGACACTGGGATCTTGGGCCATCAAGTTCTTGATGCGCAGCTGCTGCGTCTCAATCTCCTTGATCTTCTCCTGCCGGTCCTCCAACAAGAACTTCCTGGCCTCCTGGAAGCACTGGTACGGCAGCTGTTCAAAGGGGATTTCCGGCGTCTTTTGGAGAGCAGAACGACGAAGGACAGCACGACGACGGCGAGATCCCACTGGCAGGGCATGTTCTCGCCGCAGCAATCGGCGCTCCTGCTTCTTGTTCTCCACCATCTGGGGGTCTAGCGTGCCCCATTTCTGCATATACTCGGGCACTGCTGGGGCGGGAGCCTTCTGGGCGGCGCCTTCGGGGGGGTTTGACGGCGGGGGAGGCGGAGTCGCATTCGCGGAGGGCGTGTGCAACTCTTCACGGGCCACGGCCGAGGTCGAGAGCAGGCGGCGCGTGCCATTGGCGCTGGGCAGCTGTCGCACGCACCTCAGGCAGGTGGTGAATTGCCGTATAGACGGCGTGGCGGCCATGGCGGGCGGGTGGCTTGGTGTCGTTGTGCCGAGTACGGTGTTGCTAGAAAATGTGGTGATGGCTGGCGGTCCGTGCCCCGAAACCTCCGCCTCCAACTCCGCGACTTCAACGTGAGGGCCTTTTTTCGATACCCGACCCGGCATGGCTTCCACGAGGATATCCGCGCCGATGCGGGGCGTCACATGGCAATTGAGTAGACTGGCTATACAGCAGAATGCGCTGTGCACTCGTTGCGCCGTGGGTAGTCTCATCCTCCCAGCATGCGACCTGCTAACGCCTCACAGAAATCTCTACGCACATCCTCAGTCCGCGCCATAGCCACTTCGGCACCAGCCAATGCGACGATATCGCCGATTGCGCAGCCAGATGCCGACTATGTTCCTGTGATCCCGTTTGAAAAGCAAACTGTGCTTGCGACCATCCACAAGTTCCCCTCACTCGAGCCGCTGCGGTTCGAGCAATATCCAGCCAATCACCTCTATCTGCCGACAAGACGAGATATCCTGCACCGCGCTGTCATCTACGAGGGTGACATGACGCGGCTGGGAACTGCTTCGACCAAGACAAGATATGAAGTCCGCGGTTCAGCGAGAAAGATTCGCCCACAAAAGGGCACGGGTAGGGCTCGTCTGGGAGACAAGAAGTCGCCCATGTTGCGGGGAGGAGGTGTTGCATTCGGCCCCAAGCCCCGCGACTTTTCATCAGAGCTCCCCAGGAAGGTCTACGATCTTGCGTGGCGGACAGCACTGTCGTATCGATTCAGGAAAGGCGAACTCATCATCGTGGACAATGCCATGGAGATTGAGAGCCCATCGACGAGGTTACTGGGCGACATCTTCAAGCACCACGAAAAGCTGCGGGGCAAGGGCCGGAGCTTGATGGTGACTTTGGAGGAGCGCCCATTGCTGGAGCAAGCGCTGGTAGAGATGGACCGTGGCGAACAGACCCTCACATGGGAGGAGGTCGACGTCAAGAACCTGCTGGAGCTCTCCCGCGTCATCATTGAACGCGATGCTCTGCACAACATTCTACTCTCGCACCAAGAAGACATTACAAACAAGGCCCTCCAGCCATGGCACAAGGGCCTCATCCGATCATCGCCGCCTACAGAACTCGAATCGATTGTTGGCTGGCCAGAGTTCCGCGCCTTGTCACTTGCGTATCCCGAAGAGAAGGATGCTCTCCGCGCCGAGGCATACGAAAGCGCCGCCACAACACGCTACGCGCAAGCCGAGTCGCTCCCTCACGGCCCCAAGCGCACCGGATTCACCGTCTCAGCATACAACCTCCTAGCCGAAGCCAAGGAAATCCAATTTACAGAGAAGACGGGCCTCTCCTTTGCCGACTACCTCGAGCACGGCGAAGCTGAGCGCTTCCCCCGCATCCAGGCCCTGACCTACCAAGCCACCATCAAGGACGACCTCGTCAACGCTGCCGCAGACACCTCGCGGCCGGAAGCAGAGCAACTCATGGTCGACGTGCGCCAGCTTGAAGTCGAAAAGCTGCAGGTCCAGCACGAAGCGGCTCTCCTTGCAGCCCAGGTCCACGAGCACCGCTCCGAGGCCCTCCGCCTAAGCGGCGAGGAGGAAAAGGCAGAGGAACTCCTCGAGGCGGCCAGCGCCGAGCGAACCCACGTCGACGACGTCGAACTCGCTTTGCTCGAAGCCAAGCTCGAAGTTGCAAAGCAGAAATCCGTCGCCGCAAACTTGAAAGGTGACTTTGCGGGTCGCCAAAAGGCAAAAGAGCAGATTCGAGAGTGCAATGAGGCGCTGGCGTTGAAGAGGACTGAGCTCGAGCCTGAACATGCAGAGGCTGCGGGGACAGAAGAGGGCGCGCTGGACCAGGTGGATGAGGTGCAGAGCGAGACGCCAAAGGCGGAGGCGGGCAAGGAAGATAAGAGGATATAGGTTATCTTCGGAAATGTGTTATTGTACAGTGTATCTATAGATGCTCGTGAGTCGTGGCTTGGTGATTTACATACATGCCATGCAAAGTGGGCGTTGGTGTTACATGTGGTGAGAGTGCGATGTGCATGCATTTTCCTCTTCCTGTCTTCCTTTGCACGTCGGCGGAAATGCCACAACGCTTCAGGCCTTCTTGTCCAACTTCTTCCCCTCAAAAACCACCATCATGACGTCTCCAACCTGCCCCTCACTTTTCACCTCATGCGACCCCTTGCACTCGTCCACGGCATCCCTCACAGCCTTGATGACTGCGCTCGCCTCTTCAGGCGTCGCCTTTCTCCCCTGCTTCTTGGGCCCCAGCATCACCTCTACCTTTCTGCCTTCTCTGAGAAAGCGCTTGAAAGCCTCCAGTCGGTGCTTCAAGTCCCCGGGCGCAATGGCCCAGTTGAGCTCAAGCGACTTTGAAGAGGGGCCAGCGCCCTGGCCCTTTGCCTGTCTCCGCAGCGTTTCGAGCTTGCGCTGGTGCTGAGTGCGGAGATCGATCTTGGAGATGACGCGGCACGTGGGCAGGCTCTCTGGGTCGACTTGGCCGTACTCGTCGACCTTGCCGGGCGTCATTTGCACCAGGTGGTGCGTGACTTTGTCGAAGCTGTCCAGCGCCTCGTCGAGGTCGACGTCGCTGTGGAACTGGCCGTTTTCATCCACCAGGTTGATGCGGTCGGCTTCAATGGCGTTGTCGATGACGTAGTAGTCGGAGAGGGCATGGCGCCGCGTGTCTTTTGTGTATTTCTTTGTGCGTATCGTGGTCCGTGGGGCGAGGCTGGGTGTTGACGAGGCAAGAGATGTGGGTAGAGAAGCCGAGGGCGCAAATGCAGGTGCATACAGCAGCGGGATGGAAGTTGAGGTGCGCAGAGACGGGGCGATGAAGACGCGGTAGAGGGCGCGCGAGGTTCCAGAGATGTGTGTGGGCGGCATTCTGAGGTGTTGTGATCCCGGGAGCGATGAGATGGAAGCAAAAGGGCGAATGAAAAGCAGGCAATGGTGGCTTCGCGATGGGGGTGTAGAAGCTTCAATGTTTTCCACGGGCGCTAGTACCGGTCGAGATCGAATCGGAGCAGCGACAACCTCCGAGAAGGCCGCAACCCCCGCCAACTCACGCCTCGGTGGACATCTTCAGCCCACCCCACGTAGCCGGCGACCATGGCATCGAGGGCCCGATCGCATTCTCTACTCTGCTACAACCGACCTGGTCTGCCGCCATGAGTAATCCGCTCGACGACTATCTCGCTGCCCTGGAGGCGCGCGACGCACGAGAGAAGGCGCACGAGGCCTACGTCAACGCCTGTAAGAAGGCCTTGTGCCTGAGCGCTGAGTGCGTGGGGGGCTCATGATACGCAGATACCAAGCTCGCCGATGGCACAGCAAAGCCGGCGCACCCAGCACCTCCTCCTGTCCCGGAGCCTGCATCTGGCCGTGCTTCTCCCCGCGCCATGACGCCCAAGGGCAAAAAAGGCCCCGCGACAGCAGACGCCGCATCCTCGAATACCGTGGCCCAACTCCGCTCCGAGCTCGCTGCCACGCAGCGCACGCGGGGCGACCTGGAGGCTCAGCTGAGCGCCGTCTCTGCCGACCTGGCTGCCCTCAAGGCCTCGGACACGCAGCAGAAGCAGCGCATAGAGCAGCTGGAGAAGATGCGCCTGGCACTGGAACGGCGGGCTCGCGACACGGCAGACGAGCTCAAGGGCAAAGGAAGGCTGGTGGAAGACGTGCACGACGAGATGGTGGCGCTCAACTTGCAGCTCAACATGGCGGAGCAGGAGAAGGAGAGGCTGCGCAAGGAAAACGACGACTTGACAAAGAGGTGGGTCAAGAGGATGGAGGAGGAGGCCAAGAAGATGAACGAGCGGTCGGGCTGGGAGGACCAGTCGCGAAGGACAAAGTAGTGGCGAGACAAGCGGACTGGTTTGCGGGACGGACTCGACGCTTAGAATTTACCATGCTTGCCCCTGCCGAGGTGGCTGGCCTGGTTTCAACTTCAAGATAACTTCCAATTCTATCCATCTCTACTCCTTCACCTGAATGCTGTCCCAGGCCATGCTGGTGCCTGGCCATGTCTTGGCGTCCCCGAGCTCCCCGCAATCCAACGCTACAGCTCCCCACCACCAACCACGCAGCAACAAACGACGCAACTCTGCGGCGCCGCTTCTAACCATCTCACACAATGGGTGCCGCGCTCAAGACATGGGGTGAGTCATCATACATCTGCAATGGCACAACACCTTGTGCGCCCCGCGTGCCCCGCCACTGGACCATCTGGCTAACGTGCATGCCACAGAGCTCGAGAACTCGATAAAGCTCGTGGACCCCAGCAAAGATGCCCTCTACAACTACAATCCGTCTGCGCAGAAAGCCATCAACGAGGCGCACCCATGGCGGATCGACCCCAACTACTTCACCTCTGTCCGCATCTCGGCCATCGCCCTGCTCAAGATGGTCATGCACGCGCGCTCGGGCGGCTCGCTGGAAGTCATGGGCCTGATGCTGGGCAAGATTGAAGCACACACGTTTGTTGTCACCGACGCCTTCCGGCTGCCGGTCGAGGGCACAGAGACACGGGTCAACGCACAGGACGAGGCAAACGAATACATGGTCGAGTTTCTGCAGCGAGCACGCGAGCAGGGGCAGATGGAGAATGCCGTGGGATGGTACCACTCACATCCTGGGTACGGGTGCTGGCTGTCTGGTATCGACGTCAACACACAAAAGACACAGCAGCAGTTCCAGGACCCCTTCTGCGCCATTGTGATTGACCCGGACCGCACCATTTCGGCGGGCAAAGTCGAGATTGGCGCCTTCCGCACATACTCGACCGAGTACGTGGAGAACCAACAAAAGAGCGGCGGCGGCTCGAAGATGGCCGCTGGCACCGACAGCGACGGCTTCGAGACGATTCCGCTGGGCAAGATTGAAGACTTTGGTGCGCACGCCAGTCACTACTATTCGCTCGAAGTGTCGCACTACAAGTCGTCTCTGGACTCGAAGCTGCTCGAAGCGCTGTGGAACAAGTACTGGGTGCAGACGCTGTCGTCGTCGCCCCTGATTTCCAACCGCGACTACGGCACAAAGCAAATCTCGGACCTGGCGCGCAAAATGCAGCAGGAGAATACGAACAGCAAGCGCTTCTTCAAGGGCGGCGGCCAGGGCTATGCAGCCGCGCACGAGAGCAAGAACCAATTGGCCAAGCTAGGCGCTGCGGGCTCCAAGATTGCGCGCGAAGAAGAAATGGGGCTGTTGGCGGCCAAGGTCAAGGACAAGGTGTTCAACTTGACGAGCGAGGCCGAGGCCAAGAGTCACGAGGTGGAAATGGAGACGTGATGACGAGGAATTCGGGCGCGGCAAACATGCAATGTGACTTGGCGGGATAGCATGGCAAGGCGTTATGGCGTGCGTGTGGGCGAGGCAAATCATGGATGGTAACAAGGAAAGTCTTAGGATATCATAGAATCAGAGGTATCAACTACATTCAATCATGCAATCAGGTGCAGATGAGTTGCCCAACAGGCACTTGTGCTATCATTACACATACACATACACATACTCGTACATGTTCATACATATATACATACATATACACACATGCTAACAACCCAGCCTCGCCAGCGTCTCCTTCCGCCCCAGTATAACCATGACATCGTAAATGCGCATTCCGTCCTCCTGGCCCGTAACCGTCTTGCGCAGATACTGGTACACGTCTTTACTTTCCTTTTTCCCCGCCGGTCTGCCATCGATAATCTCGTGGACTTTTGCCATGAGTCGGTCTTTCGCCCAGTTCTGCGCGTCGATGTCCGCGAGCAGCTGTGCGGTGCGCATGGGAATGTCCGACGAGGTTGCCAGGGGCGGTGTGGCGCTGAAGGGGCGCAGGGGCGTGAAGAAGAAGGCGTTGCGGTATAGGAATTCGTTTGCGTTTGTGTAGTTTTCGGCGTCGGCGGTCACAATGGCTTGGATGTAGGCGCGCGGCGTGCCGTGGGGACTGCTGTTTTGCACAATGGTGCTCCAGTGCTTGTACGGCGTGTCGGGGGCGGCGAGCAGCGCGGCGATGCAATCTACCATTTCGGCGAGCGCTGGGCCGCCGCGCTGGGTACGCAGGAGAGCGTGTTTGCGCTGGAGAAATTGCATCTTGCCAAAGGTGACGGTGGTGTTGCCTTTTGTGAATTTCAGCGTGAAGGTGTGGATCAGCGTGGCAAGGTCCATGACATCTGATTTCGAGCGGTGGCTCCAGCCGAGCAGGGCGGCAAAGTTGGTCAGCGTCTCTGGGAAGATTTGCATCTGCTTGAAGGCGGCAATGTCGGTGTCGAAGTTGCGCTTGCTGAGCTTGTTGCCGTGCTCGTCGACGAGGAGCCCCACGTGCGCAAAGGCCGGCGGCTCCCAGCCAAAGGCGTGGTACAGGGCAATGTGCTTGGGGGTGCTGGGCATCCACTCGCTGCCGCGGATGACGTGCGTGATCTTCATGGCGTGGTCGTCGACGACGTTGGCGAGGTGGTATGTCGGCAGGCCGTCCGACTTGAGGAGAATGGGGTCCTCGTAGGCGGTTTCGGTGACATGGCCGCGGCGCTTCAGAGGGCGAAAGGTGCCGTAGATGAGGTCCTTGTACGAGGGGTACTGCTCGGGCACCCTGAGGCGGATCGTGTGCGGCTCGCCCCTCGCGGCTCTGTCGTCGCTTTCTTCTCTCGCGATGGGGGCGCAAGTGCGGTCGTAGTCGGTGGCGATGCCCAGCTTGTGCCTGTGTTCGGCCAGCGCATTCAGGCGCTCAGCCGAGCAGAAGCAGCGGTAGGCATGGCCCGACTCGAGCAGCGCGTGGGCGTGTTGGCGGTACAAGTCGCTGCGCTCCGACTGGCGATATGGGCCATACGGCCCTCCGACCTGGGGCCCCTCATCCCACTGCAGCCCCGCCCACTGCAGGTCGTCGTAGAGGCGCTGCTCGGCGTCGGGCACCGTGCGCTTCTGATCCGTGTCTTCGATGCGCAGCAGAAACTGGCCGCCGGTGCGCTTGGCAAGGAGATAATTGAACAGCGCGGTGCGGAGCGAGCCCAGGTGCAAGTATCCCGTCGGCGATGGAGCGAAGCGCGTGCGTGCCGGCGACGAGGGCAGCGCCGTGCTAGCTTTTTGCTGCTGAGACGCCCGAGACGGGGTGAATTGGCGTCGCGCGCCGCGGGAGAGGCGGAGTAGACAGGCGCGGCATGTGTAGGTGGGCGCCAATTGCGGGCGGACGACGTGTGAAAGGGCCATGGTGGTGAGGCCCGCGAGAACGGGGCTGGTGCCGAAAATGATGGACCGGTACGGCGGCCTAGTACACCATCAAGGGTAGAAAGCTAAATTGTAAAAATAGAATTCGAACAGTACGACTACCTCTTTTACCCCAATAGACTAGACTGTATTTATCTTCTTGGATCAATTTTGTTGCCATAAATATATTTTATTGTTATCAGTTTTTTTTTGTTTCGTTGCACTTGTTTTACTCTATGCTGCTTCATTTTAAGCTTGAGGTTTAGCTAGAGACTACATGCTCTATGCACAGTCCCGTAGCCCTCCCGACCCGATGGATCCCCGAGGGTTGTCCTCCAGGTCCCTTGGTAGAGTATCGTAACAGTGAGTATATCTCTAAGCGAGGGCCTTGAAGCTCGCATAAACTGCATAGTGCTCCTCTTACAATCCACAGTTGATTAGGGTTTTCTTTTTCATCTGTGTTGTTCCACTGCTGACGTCTGTCCCTCCGTGACAGATACAAAGGTGAGTATTCAACACAAATACGGTATGCCGGGCGATAGCTCTATAAGCGTCTAGACTCTGAGCTTTTTGCCAGTACTCTCACCTTGGATCAGTGATTTGGCTTGATCTGTAGCAAAGGGAAGTTAGGGTTGGTGGTTCAGTACTAGAAGAAGGGGTATCGTATGATCAACATACTGCCTGGATAAAATTTCTTCAACAGTAGAGTATTTAGACACTAGATTAGAATTCTTAAACTACGCTTTCATCTATTTGCGCGCTAGGTCAAACAATCCAATCGTGTACTATAGTGACATTTCTTGCTTCCACTCCTCGCTTGGTAACACCGCAATAATCAAAGGCCAAGGATAACACTTTCTTCTGATATCTCTGAACCCAGTATAGCTGAGAGATCCTCCTCTGTCTTGCTTGGGTGAGGTAGAACGTGCTGAGGTTCGTCGATCATGCGCTTTGAAGTTATCACGCATCAGCTATATGTGAGATATATAGTATGCACGGGTTGTCTTGCATAAACGCCGTGAATGCCTATACTAAGGCAGGAGTCTTTCCTTAAAAGCCTGAATGTAATACTGGATTGTGTACCTCTTCTAGAGCGTATACAAGTCTTACTCTATCATCACATTTTCTATTCTTAGTCAATTTAGATTTGCATTTATAAATGCCCCTAAGATTATATATCATGACTCTAATTAATGCAAGCACACGAGACTATGGCTGAGTAACGGAGTGAAATGTTACTAGCGTTTCTACATTTTACTTTCGCGATTGGTTCTAACATTTGTGGCGTAACAGTCCGCCGTAGACAGGGATCTCCCGCCTAGTGCGGGCGGGTCTGAACTTTTGCCCGCCATGGCGAGGTAACGCATCGTCCAGCCTCGAGATTTTGTTGCCGCTGCCTCTACTCGACGCTGCGGCCGCTCTTCCAGTACACGTCTCTCTCTCGAAACACTTTCTCGCGCTCGTTTAATCGCCGCCTCTACATCCCTAGACACATCCAAGAGTACGTAGTTTGCCTCGGTTACGCCGTGATGATATACTGATACAACCGCAGTGGACGAAGAAATCGACCTCTACGGTGCGTGTCGAGGCGTGCGCCGTGACGCTCCAACTAACAAAAACAGAGGTCCTCGAGATTGAAAAGGGCGCAAGCAAGATCGAGATCAAAAAGGCCTATCACAAGGTGCGTAGGCAGCAAACTGCCACGCACCACTATTGACCTCTGACACTGCCCAGGCCGCGCTCGCACATCATCCCGATAAGGTCGCGGAAGAAGACCGTGCAGAGGCCGAGGTGCGCTTCAAGGCCGCAAAGCAGGCCTACGAGATCCTCTCCGATGATGACAAGCGCCACTTGTACGACACGCACGGCATGGCCGCCTTTGACCCCTCCAGAGGCGGAGGCATGGGCGGCGAAGGCCCCGACATTGACGACATCTTTGCGCAAATGTTTGGCGGCATGGGCGGCTTCGGAGGCATGCACGGCATGGGCGGCATGGGCGGTATGGGTGGCATGCCCGGTGGCCGCCATGTGCCTCGCAAGGGCCGGTCGGTAGAGCAGGAGTACGAAGTCACGCTGGAGGAGCTGTACAAGGGCAAGACGACAAAGTTCACAAACACCAAGAACATTGTCTGCAACATGTGCAAGGGCAGCGGCGGCAAGCAGGGCGCCAAGAGCAATTCGTGCGCCGTGTGTAATGGACGAGGTATGTTGGCATGCAAATGCAGGCTCGAGGTAACTGACCCCCGCAGGTGCCAAACAGGTACTCCGCCAGGTTGGGCCTGGCCTGGTTACTCAAGAGACGGTTCCCTGTGGCAACTGTCAAGGCTCTGGCCAGGTCATTCCCGAGAAGCAGCGCTGCAAGAAGTGCAAGGGCAACAAGGTCGTCGAGACCAAGAACGTGCTCGAGCTCTACATTCCCCGCGGTGCCCGAGAAGGCGAGCGCATTGTGCTAGCCGGAGAGGCAGACCAACTGCCCGACCAGGAACCCGGAGACATCATCTTCACCCTGTCCGAGACACCCCACGACGTCTTTGAACGCGCTGGCGCCGATCTGCGCGCCGAACTCAAGGTCAGCCTCGCCGAGGCCCTTACCGGCTTCAACCGCGTCGTCATCACTCATCTCGACGGACGCGGCATCAAGATGAACGTGCAACAGCCCAACGGCAACGTTCTCCGACCAGGCCAATTGCTCAAGATTGAAGGCGAGGGTATGCCCATCAAGAAGAGCGACGCCAGAGGCGACCTCTACCTCGTCGTCGATGTCGAGTTCCCCAAAGACGGCTGGCTCAAGAGCGAAGCCGCCGTCCAGAAAGTCCGCGACGCATTACCCAAGGACGACAAGGACGATTCCAAGCACGAAGATGTCGAGGAAGTCGAGATCGACTGGGATGCGGACATGGAAGAGTTTGGTGCGGGAAGCGGGGACCCGCGCGCGGGCGGCGCAGAGTGGGAAGACGAAGATGAGGGCGAGGGAGGTCCTCAGTGCGCGACGCAGTAGTTGACTTGCATGTGCACATGATTTGATGAAAATGCATGGTTTGGCGTTTGGAGGGTGACGATGATGCCTTTTTTCGGTCTCTCAGGCACACGCGCTGTGAGTGCGGATATTTAGACTGACTGCATTGGCGGTCTTTAGGCTCATATACGATGGGTTTCACTTTGGTGTCTTGTCTTGATAGACTGATGATGTTGATGTTACTGATACCCGGTTGTATTTTCACGACATTCTTTACAATTTGAACTCAGACAGTGTAGGTAGTGCGTTGGAGCATGTTACGTCAATGGCCAAAACCAACCCATGTAAGACGATCCTCCTTCCAGCATGTCCAGTGTACATTGTTTCGATATGGCGTAGGGTCGTGACGAGATACCAGGGATTGCTGACTGAACAACAAACGAAGTCAAGCATGTTGATAGGAATGAGAGGATTAGCAACAAGTGAGTTGGATCATGGATATGTACTACCATACACTAGGTTTTTCAGTTCACTAGATATCTCTACACAAGCACAGTACGGTGAGACTATACAGGCTGTGATCCGATATACCCCTATCAACATCTCCTTCACACTCAAGCCCATGTGAATCCGCCAACGTGCACCTTCCACCATCCCGTTTGCAGTCTTGGCGGCAAACGACTTACCTGTTCCTGATGCCCATCCTCATCCTCGACTCTATCACGCCCTTCTCTACGACAGTCTTACTTGCCAAAACCATCCACAACCAACCACCAACCATGCAGCACCACCCCTCTCCCGCCCCAGACGTCATTCCCACGGCCCCCACCCCGGATTTCCTCATCATCAGCCTCTTCGCGCTGCGCCTAGCACGCCGCCTGATCGCAAGTCTAGATGACTATCCGCAGCGCTTCCCCGATCTACAGTGGCTCGTTGACTTTCTCGCCGCATACACGGACGAATATGCACTTGCGAAAATAACAGGGATGAGGAAACAAGCGTATATGCATATGTATCCTGGGATCGTGGCGCGTATGAAAAGGCAGCACGGATATCCAGTCCGCTTTATGCAGATGAATCCAGATCAGCAGATGTATGGGGCGAGGGGGGCTGGTGGGGGGAATAGTGAGGTGGAGCGAGAAAGAGAAATGTCGGATGGTAAGTCTGTATTGTACCTCTTATATACATACTTACATACATATATATATATATATATATGTGTGTGTGTGTGTGTGTGCAGGGAAATCAGGAGACTGACGCACTACAGGTGAACGGATAGCAATCATTGATTTCTCAGACGCAGCTGCGGAATGGGGTTCCACAGTCCCGATTCCAGTGTCTGAGGCTCCGCGCATGATGATGTTGGCGGGACAAAGACTGCTTGCGGATTCGTCTCATGCGGATTCTCAAGCACGTGGAGGAGAGCGGCATCGCGGTGATGCTGCGAGGGAGTCGCTTGAGCCGCTGGCTTCGAGGCCGTTGAGAGAAGTCCAGAATGGACGGTTGGTAGATCGGAGCTCGACTTTGCAGACTCCGGGTTTGTAGCGACATGGCGAGCATGTGCTGGAGCGGGAGAGAGAGGTTGGGAGTGCTAGGACGACTCGACGTGTGGGTTTTGCGGATGAGCGGGAATTCGAGGTGTGTAGATGAGTTCAGATAAACGGGTTTTCTAGAATACTAACTGGTGCAGGAACAAGGATATTGATGCGTAGCATAGGGAGAGGAGGTCATGTGTACATTGAATATCCAAGTCTTGAGCTTTTATTTGTTATAAACATACCAATATACATGCTTCACTCAACAATTCAATTGTCCCATCCAAGACTTCTGCTCACCTCACAAGATAGCACTTGATTGGCTAAGTAGAAAGTCTATAGATACCAAAAACACCCAACACACGTGTCTCCAAGTAGCATCCCTAAATCCACCACACACACACACACACACACACATATCAATATCCTACACTATACCCGCCCCAGCCTCCCTCCCCACCCCCACCCCCTTCCTCTTCATGCTCCCCCAAAGCCCCCCACACCACCGCGCCAACACTCCACGCACCCCGACGGTAACCGCAAACGTAAGCACCAGCACGGGGACGGCGGTAACCCAAAAAACCCAGCTCTTACTTTCCCCCGGCATAAACGCATCCGACATGGAGAAAATCGCAGCGATGGTGCCGAGCGGCACAAACACCATGGTCAGATTTGTAATGCGCGCGAGACTCAGCGCATTCCGGTTCGCAGCCTGTGCCTCCTGCATGGAGCAGAATTGCAGGTAGGAATGCAGGAAGGCGTCGGCCATGGTGAGGATCTTGGTGCAGTGTTCTTGGACGGCGAGCCAGCCGTCGCGTTCCCAGGCCTGGACTTGCATTTCCAATTGCATTTCGCCTGCCGCTGCCGCTGCGGTGGAATGCGGATGAGTACTGCTAGTGGTGGTGCGGTTTAACCCCAAGACTTCAAAGTGCTCCTTGGCTTCGCCGGCTACAAGGCCCATGTTGTATTTTACATTGACGACAAAGCCGAAGACGTGGTGGTGCCAGCGGCTCAGGACGCCCTGGTCAAAGTCGCGCAGGTAGTCGCAGCGATTGACGTGGGGCACGGCGGTGCGCGGATTCGCCTGGAGACGCAGCATGTTGAGGATGCGGCGGCGCAGGAAGGCGAGGAAATGGCAGAGGACGAGTTTGCGAGCTACGTCTGTACATGACTTGGGGCCTGTGGCGTGGGCGGGGGTACGCGGCGCCAGCGCGAGGATGTCGTCGAGGATGGACATGTAGGCTGGGCGCTGCCAGGTGCGCGACCAGGAGGAGGCGTCGCCGGGCAGAATGGTGACGGTGCTGAAGTCGGGGTCTAGGCTGCTCATGCGCGTGTAGGCGTGTTCAGTCGACGTGTCGTCTACGCGGAGACGGCGGCCGTCGCTCAGAGACGTCACGTAGGGGCCTACGGGGGGGTCTACGAGGAGGATCGCTGGAAGGTAAGTTTGGTCAGTCATGCATTAAACATTGCAGTGAGTAACTAAGTTAGATAAGGTGGAAGCCCTACAATCCCACGAGCCGTCGTGTCTCACACCTGAAGTCCAGAAGGACAGTGCGTGGTAGCATTTGGGCTGGTCGAAAATCGGGCCCTTGGGGTCGTAGCAGTAGATGTGGCGGTCGACGTTGAAGTCGCACTTGAAGACTGTGCCGTGGACCTCTGGATCCGCCTCGATGCGAACCGGCTGCGTCGACGCGTATCGAATGACAAACGTGTGCTCCGAGTACCGGCGGAAAGGATTGCGATGGTTGAACTCAGGGGTCGCCGGGTCAGCAGAATGTGCGGCGAAGAAGCTCGGTGGGATACGCAGCTGTGAGCCCAGCACTTCGACGTAGTTGAGCCCAAGGTCCTCGAGTATGAAGAGCCGTTTCCGCGGCCCCGTCTTCTCCGTCGTGGCTATGGGGTCTTCGAAATGCGTCTGGAGATCGTGGCTACTTTTGAAGATGTCGGGCTCGGCTCCTTCGTCTTCGTCGTCAACATACTCTATCACTGCCACTCTACCTTTTTCCCGCTCACACGGCGTCTGTGCCTGGAGATTGCGGAGGAAGGTTGGAAACAGCCAGTGAAGCTGTGTTTCAATCAGTTCATGATATGCTTCGCGGGCATCCTGCTCGCAGAATGTCGCCGATCGCTCGTTCCAGATACCAGTTGGAGATTCGCGGTCGTCCATGTCGAGCAACGAGTATGCTTCTTCCGAGCATCCCACCCCGGTGCTCAATTAATATCCACGACGGCAAGGCTGAGCCAAGACTTTGGGGCAAAGTCTTAGCAACGCTGTGTGGTGGTGTCCAGATCCTATTGGCCCTGTGCACGCCATGACCAGGGGAGTATGCAGGTTGGGAGCGGGATATCACAGAACGTACAGTGCCGGTAACCAGATTCGAGGCAAGCCCGACTTGAGGAACTGCTGCCGTCTGCACGATGGATGGCTGTGTGGCGGCTTGCTATCAGCCGGCAGGGTGCTATATGGCTACCGTTGTACTACATTCGCTGTAAGTGTAGAAGGCCAGGCAGAATCCGCGGTGCTTCTAGAACAGCGAGAATTTCCCCTCTTTGTTCAAGGAAAAACCCCGCAATGCAGTCTTTCCCTATCCTCCTGCTTACGCCTGCACATCAAGTACGGCTCGAGATCCTTATCCACGGGGACCACTCGTTTCCACTCGGGCTCAATTCCTTCCGAGCCCCAATCGCCCAAGCCTCAGGCTTGTCTTCAGGCCCGAGTATCTCTCCAGGTTCAATAGCAGCCCCCATAGCCACGCGGGGGATACTGCAGCCGTCTGCATCGCCGTATATCGACATGGAGGCGCAGCAAGCCACGCTTCCTCCAGGACTCTCATCCGCGTGACCCGAATGCTGTTTATCCCGAATGCTGTGTAGCCCGATGGGCTGGACCATGCGGATTAGGTGCGTCGAGAGATGCTACTGATAAGTTCCTGGGGAGAGGGGTAATGCGGAGAGGAGGTGCAATAGCACAGGCCGAGCCTTTTTGGCCCCGGATTTGGGTTCCAGAGGATGATGCATGGCTTGCACATATAACACGTATAGAACTGTTGTAAATCCGTGTCCGTTTTCACGGATCAGACGGTATTTGGCGGGGTTGAAGGAGTAAAGTAGAGTCTGCGGTGGTTGTTTGGTATGCTGCTCCGAGGAATGGGGCTTCTTGTATGCACTCTGGTATTGATGGACGGAGGCCGCCCCCCCCCCTTTTATTTATTTTTTTTGCGTGCCTCGTTGCTTGGAGATTTTGGCAGACCATCTTATTTCACGAATTTTTTTGTTCCTGGTGTTTTGGTTGCGGAATCGGCACAAGACGCTACGTACCTGGACCTGAACCTCTTCTTGTCGAGATACTGTTGATCAACTCCACTTCCCACGACGATGACGCACCTACGTCATCGCACCCCCCCCCCCCCAAGTATACATACTTACCGGCCTGAGCTTGCACCGCATCATCAAGCCCGCCAGCGTCTACACACAGCGTTGAAGCAGCAAAGTTCCTTCTCTGTATCATGAGTATCAATTCTGCGACACAACACGCCCCATGAAAGTTCTACTAGTTTATCCCAAAACGCTCGCATACTTTGCGTAAACTAAGTTTACCACAGCGTGCCCAGAATAGACGGCCGCCGGGCCTTGTTCATCAAGCAAACCATGCTATATTCTAGCGCTTGGCCCTCACCCCCGCCCTCGTCTTGATTCCAGCAAGCGTTGTTTCGGCCAGTAAGTAGTATGTAGTGTAAGTAAAGTAGTCGACCTTAGCTGTTAGCATACTTATACCCACATTGAAACCACGTATCATCCCCAAGCCACCCAGGAAAAGAAAAAAACGAGGCTGAGGCTGAGAAGCCCGCCAAAACGCAAAACGCAAAACGACGTAAGACGGCCCCACCTTTTCCTCTTTTAGCCTCTTCGTCCCGTTGCCCGCCAAACAACAAAGCCCATTCATTTGCCCAGCCATACAGCCGACATCTCTCTCTCTCTTACACTCTCTTACTCTCCCGCTCATCCAGCACACGCTCGGAAGCGCTCGGATCGCCGTTTTTCGCCTTTGTCCTCTGTGATTCGCGCAGCTGCGGCCAATGTAGTCCTGTTGGCAGCCGCCCCGTCGTCGTACACAACAAAACCGCACGACAACATGTCTTTTTCCGACAACAACGACAGCGACGCCGATGATGTGGCGGCAAGTGGACTTGCAGCCATCGAGCGCTACGACGGCGAAGACACGAGTCCGACTACGAACCGCGAATTGAAAGGCTGGTATGCGTATCCCATTGCAGCAGAGGTAAGGGGTTTTTTTGTTGGCGGGATCTTTTTTTTGGGGGGGGGGGCGGGGGG